AAATCAATGGTGCACATGGGCTCCAGTATCCTGAGGGAACTATTAGTGTACGAACTTGTCGTTGGTCACTTGCTACCATGGGACTGCATCTCTTCACGATGCTTCACTGCCTTGTGGATCAGATCTTTAGGTCAAAGGCTCAGGGTGTGGCCCCTTAAGAAAACCACCTGCTTCAGTTTGGGCACCTGGGAAGTATTACAGCCCTCACACAAATCAAATGAGATTTGTGTGACGCATATATATCTGGTGTCCCTTTGTGTGAATATTTATTTAGTACTTGGATTCCTTTTGTTCTTTTTAGTAATTTAAAACAAGAATAATAGAGAATTCTCCTTCAATATTGTAAACTGAACAGTTCTTTCTTTACCTATCCATAAATAATTCCGACAATTCTTATCATTGTTCCATAGTCAAAATTACTGATTTATTCTCTTTTGATACATCCATATTTGTATGTGTATATATTTAGGTAGGTATACCACCCATTCCGTTAATCATTACAAGTCTATTGTCAAATAAGCAATAATATAGTTCCTTAGAAAATATGTATTCAATAGAACAAGCTGATCTATTCGTGATATTATTGTTTGGTACATAGTTACTATAGTGTTTTGATTATGAAATATAGACAGAAATAAAACTGAAAAAAAAGTTAAATACAATACATTTTTATAAGCAAAGATGGATAGTGACTAGTAGTGGAATCCAGGACACTCATCTCGTCCTATATGGGACTCGTCAATTGGTTGTCCCTCTGCATCTCAGAGTTGATGTTCACTCTGTGACTCGAAACCGATACCCTCGCTTCAAACGCCATCATGTTATCCACTCAGCTACTGAGTTTTGATAGCCACCTGCTTGTGCAAAGGGGAGAAGTTTAAATTCATTTAGTATTGTTTGTTTGAATCTTCCCATTGATATTTAGGACTGCAACGGACCAGTCTCTAATTGACATATGTTCATACTGTGCGTATTGCCTCGATATAGCTTTATTTCACAAGCATTATAAGCAAAGATGAATAGTGGATATTAGTGGAATCCAAGATTCGCGTTTCGTCCTATTTGTGACTCATCAGCAGGGTGTACCTGCATCTCAGAGTTGATATTCACTCTGCAACTCAAACTCAGTACTTTTCGCTTCAAACGACATCGCGTTATTCACTCAGCTACTTAAAAGGATTAAAATTTTTACATGATTGTATACTTTGTTATTGTTATTGTTGTTGTCATGAAAACTTAACATATTAACAAAAATCTTTATCTTTTTATGAATACATATCAGACTTGAAAGAAAAACTAGTTACATAGAGACTTGAGTTTGATCAGCTGAATGAATCTATTCATTTTGTTTTGATTATTATTTTGATGTATTTTGTGCACTCTGAAGAAGCGCTTTAATTTAAGTCACGAAACGTCTAGAATATGATAAAAGTTAATTTATTATTATAAATGTTTTTTATAGGTTGTTAGATTTATTGTTCACATCACGAAATGAATTTAGATAATGAATGAGTATTATAATGTATTGAAAATCTGATATTATCTTCGATAGGACACTTCAAAAGTATGCATCCACAATTCTACTATGATTCGAAATAACGAATGTTGAATTATTTCTCACCAGTGTTATAATGTGTGCTACTGATGTTGACAAATATAAGTAGTATGTGTAGTGAACAAGAAAGCGAATAGGGACAATCGAATAAAAGATGGTGGTTAGAGGTGGTCAACAGGAAACCCTGGACCGGGGTTTCGTGCTACTTGGCACTCGTCAGCAAGGTGTACCTGTAATCCTGAAGGAACTGATGCTCCCTGACGGATTCGATCCCCTGTCACTCAGCTTCACAATCAGAGACGTTACCACTGAGCTATTCGGGCCGCGACCGACCTCCTATAGGACGGAGATGTAATCACAATTGATTGATCACTGGGTGCTGATCAATGTCATGCGTGTCAAGTCCTTCTTAGTGCTAATCGAATGCTATCGATCGAGTTGCAATGTGGCCACCAGTCTAGGTGGCTCGACACTGCTTGCACTATATATACTGAGGTCAGATGGTGGTTGGAGGTGGTCAACAGGAAACCCTGGACCGGGGTTTTGTGCTACTTGGCACTCGTCAGCAATGTATTTGAATGTATTTGACACGAAAATTACAGACTATCTCACGTAAATCTGACAACCATATAGTAAACAGTTAATTTGTAAATTATTAATCAATCGCCTCAATCTTGGTCATTCCTTCTGCAAATATCAGTTCATAGTCACCGATTATTATTGTTCATGTATTCTCATACCAACTGCGTCCCGTTCCCATTCTTTCCTTATCAATCTTCTACTGAAATACATTCAATGCCCGACCATAGCTATATAATATTTGTGTGAATATAAGTAGCCTGCACCACAGTATGTATCATCAATGGAAAGCAAAATGCCTGGTTACATAAGGTTAAGAAGATAGAAAAGGAGAGAAAGCGAGAACAGAGAATGACTGTTTTGGAAATAAAAAAATAGTGAAGTCTGAGACGATTGATTGACATTTAACAAATAAAGTAATTACTATATGGTTGTCAGATTTTACTAAGATATTCTGTAATTTTATGTTCAACTACATTCGATTGTTCCCACTTGTATTCTCATTCACGACAATATGAAGCCATGAAAATTGTCGTTCAGCCATATTAGGTATAGGATAGGTGACTACTTATAGAATGAATAACAGACATTAATGAAAAGTTGTATCCTTCCTTATATCTTAGTGATTAATCTTTTTTTTAAAAAAGATAATCTCCCTTAGTAAATCTACAATTTCATTTCATTGTTTTATACATTATAATTATGAATTTCAAGGGGGTTTATATTTTGCTATTATCTGTTATCTAACCAGATGGTAATTGATAAGATGAAATGATCAGGTTTTATCAAAATTACAAATTTTCTTAAAAAGTACTGTAAATGTAATAACTAATGGGTTACATTCACTTAGTATTATTTGTTTGAATCTTCCCATCTATGTGTTAGGACTTCAACTGGTCAGTCTCTAATTGGCATATGTGCATACTGTGCGTATTACCTCGATATAGTCTTATTTCACAAGCATTATAAGCATAGATGGATAGTGGCTAGCAGTGGAATCTAGGACGCGCGTTTCGTCTTATTCGAGACTTAACATCTGGGTGTACCTGCATCTCAGAGTTGATGTTCATTCTGGCACTCGAACCCAGTGCCTTTCGCTGCAAACGTCATCTCATTATCCACTCAACTACTGTGTTCTGATAGCCACTTGCTTGTGCAATGGAGTGAAGTGGCGTTTAAAGCGTAAGGTACTGGGTTCGAGTCCCAAGCTGAACATGCAGGTGCTTCCTGCTGACGAGTCCCAAATAGGACGGAACGCGCGTCCTGTATTCTACTGCAGCCACTATTTATTGTTGCTTAGAATTAGTTATATGTTTATTGTTTTATTTGGTTTATTATAATGGAAATTTTTATGGTGAGACTATCATTTATGAACGATTATTTGAACGATTCGAAAGTGACCTTGAAAGTGTCTACTTAGTTACTATGACTAAATGGGGGTTATAAAGCAGTTTGAAGAATAAGGATTATGATTCACAGTTAACGATTAGGATTCGGAATTAGATGTAGAGTTTTTCATGACAATCTGATATCAGATTGATATCAGATTGATATAAATCCCAAGATTCTGTTTAACTAAATAGATAAATGAATTTTGCGCCGAAATCCAGAACCTGTTATCCTAAATCTGATTGGTTTATCCATAGATGATAGTCGTGCCCCAAAGTTAATTAATTGTTACATCAAATATTGGAATTGTTCATCATAACGATGAAACTGTTATATCGATTTGGTGAGTGCGTGCCCTTTTTAATATATGACGTGATGATTCCCGTAAATTGGAGAGGAGTGAATTATGGATCAGAGCGATGATACACGAAAGTCGTAAGAGCAGTTATGAGTATTTATCAATCCTGCTTTATGTCTAGCCCAGCCAGTTAAGTCCAGAACATCAATAACAGCGTCTGCAATATGAATCATTATTCTGAAACATACTGGGTTTATATACCAAACAAACTGACCACATCGTACCATTAAATAGAAAATAACATTTGTATAAGATTTAGCCGAATGTGGCTGTGAATAGGGGGAATAGTAATCAATAGACTGGGGATAACTCAAGAATGGTAAATCGTATAATAATAGTCTATGGGTCAGAATAAATATCATAATAAGAGGAAAATGAATATGAATAGTTTAGTTATTTAACAATTATACAATAGAAAATATACATATCATATTGGTCTATAAATAGTTCTCAAAGTTGCCATTCATAAATCTACACGGCATATAATAGAAACAAAACCTTAATTTCATTTCATGTACTTGGAAGCTATAATAGTTTGCAATAAGTTTTGATTCATTTGTAGGGTCATTTAATTCTAGATGTTGATGTTAAAGACAGCAATCGGTCAGTTTCTTTTGACAATTGTATATCTTTTGCAGATTGTTTTGACATTCTCACTAGGTTACAAGCATTTCACATAGAGAAGGATAATTGTTATCATTTGAATCCATGACGTACGTTTAATCCTATTTGTGACTTGTAAACTGTATACACCTGAAGCCTAGTGACGATGTTGACGTATCCATTTTACCGATTATCAAATAGGATAAAACACGCATCCTATATTCCACTGTTATCCGTTTTGAAATAATGGATAAGATTTGTAGCTGATGATTTCGTTCAGAAGAACGATAAAAGCTTCACGACCAAACCATCCAGCTCAAAGAACAAAACTCCATTAAAAACTGTTAACCGTTATATAACTCTATTCAAACTTGAAAGTTGATTAAAGTATATATAGCATTCTTTATCACACCTATGAGGTAATACTTCAGCTTTTATTACACTAGTTAACATTTACCTTCGTTCTAATGATTGTATCAAATGTCTTTTTTTTCATTTATTTTTTCAATTAAACAGATTGTTGATACAGCCGATGCTTATCTTGTTATATACGCAGTTGATGATCGTGGTTCATTTTATACAGCAAGAAAAGTAATCGGTTTATTGTTAAGTCAATGTAAACGTTCCAGTGCTATAATACTGGCAGCTAATAAATCTGATTTAGTAAGAACACGAGTTGTATCTAGTGAAGGTTAGTTAAATTGCTTACAATTTGTTTTCTCATAGCTGAACTCACGAGTCGATCTAAAATAGAACATCATTAAGAACCTGTAAGCATTGTAAAGCCATTTTTTTCCTAGGATAGGACTCCTCGTTGGCTCACCCCCACGATCTCGCATACGGCACCTGAATCCAGGACTCTTGGTCTCGCGTGAGAACGCTTAACGTGTATGCCACTGAGCCGGCATCCATAGGTGTTAATGTCTAACTTCAGTCAATCCATGATCTTTTACAATCATTTATCTATTGTCTGAAGTGGATAACTGTCTCACATCCGACATGGATTGGATACGCACTTCTGAAGAGTCCCACGTTAGGGAGAAAAGACCGTCCAGTGCTTCCAGGTTCTTAATGATGGTCCAGCTTAGATCAACTTATGAAGTCAACTGTGAAAATACTACAATCTCCACAAACCCCCATACTGATAATTTCTTTTCTCTTTATGCAAAGCTTTCATTATACCAAGATAATGTTACTAAATAGTTTATTTGTTGTATTGTATTGTATTATATATTCAATGTAAATCAGATGTTTTTGGAGAATAAATGGACTGTGATCAGCATTGGAATCAAGGTACAGGTTTCTTAATATTTCGGATGGAATAGCTAAATGTATTAGCATTTTAATGTTCATTTTTATACTGGGACTCAAATTCAGTATCTATCATTTTGAGCACTAATACTAATACTAATTCATTGAGCCACAGATTGCATCTAACTTATTCTACAGGTTTAATGTTTATATCATGATTTGAAGTTGTTTCCATTATACTGACATTGATATTGTTGACTGAACTCTGACTAATCTTTGTTAGTATATGATCATCCTGTTCAAATTACCTCTATTTGGCATTTTGTCACAAGTTTTTCCAAGATTAAAGTTTCGTCCTTATTCTCGACTTATCTTGACAGACAACAAGTGACAAAAACTTACAAGATTGACTGCTCAGAGCTTTATATTGGTTGGCAAAGACAATAACTTTGAAAACCAAATTTTGACTCAACAATTCATGTATTCAGGAGATAAATATCCAGCGATTATTATTTAATGTTATCGATGGGTATATGCCTTACCTCCACAGATAAAGTTTCTTTCACTGAAACTCTAGGGAATCAATTATATTCACAGTTGCCATTCTGTTTGTATCACTAATATGGATCGATGTATATTCACATTAAACAAATCAACAATTGGTTTTAGTTTTCTTTACTGAAATACATAAAAAGATGTGATATGTTTGAAAAGTAAATAAAATTCGAATCAAGACTATCCTCATGAGTAGTACTTGGAGGGTTTTAGTTTATTTAGAATGTTTAATTTGGAACACTTTATTTATTATGTATTTGAGCACATATATTGGCAAAGGGGGCACCAAATGTATGTGTACCACACAAATCTCATTTGTTTTGTGTGAAAGCTGTGATATTACCCAGGTGCCCAAACTGAAGCAGATGGTTTTCTTAGGGAGCCACACTCGGAGCCTTTGACATAAAGGCTTAATCCACAAGGCAATGGAGCATCTTGAAGAGTTGCAGTCCCATAGTAACCGGTGACCAACGATTGGTTCGTACGCCAATTGTTCCTTCAGGATACTGGAGCCCATGTGCACCATTTGTTTGGAATCAGGGTTTTCCAACTGCCATATGTGAACTCGCCATGTCCACCAAACAAGTTAAAGCGTCGGACATTCACTTTTCATCCTCTGAATTTCGTAGACAAAGCCCCCGCCACAAGAAGGCAGTGAGTAGGACTTCCTTGACAGTGGCTATATACGCGTGGTCGTGTGAGAGCATTTAGAGAAAGAGGGCGAGCCCTCACCACTCTCGGCCGTACCAGGACATTTAAGGGCTAAGCGATGCAACGGCCGGGAACATCTTACAAATTGAACATCAACTTGGTAATCTTTGCATAACATACTCCAATAGAAAATTGAAATGAATTTGAATAGTTTACTCAATCAATAAAAATGAAACATCTTTTTCTTCTTAATAAACATCATTTTAATGATTTCAGTTCCCTTTCTATGGGTAACAAGAATAACAAATAAAGGGACATAATAAAAAGGAAAAAAAAGGAGGTGGATTCATTCCTAGTAACCATCAATATGTGTATATGTATGCACACAAATGAACTTGAATAATTAAATTATTATTTTGTTATGTAAATGAATTATTTATCAACTTCTTTAACAAAACTAAAAAAAAGATGAAACCTTGATCATAAGTAAACTAGATAAGGGGAGGTGGTATAGTTCTGATGTACAAAAAAAAAAGGATTACATTGGAAACAATACCCAGTGATCCTAACAAAATCCCGTTAAGATAATTGGATCATATACACTACGATTATACGCTTTGCCTAAAGTTCATAAACCATGTCTTTCTTTTACGCCCAGTTATAGAGATGTACAATCGTTTTCACCATAAAATTGTAAAGTGGCTAGTGAGAATCTTAGAACATAAATCAGTTGTTAGAATAAGTCTAAAAGATGTTTTCGACTTCACTTCCAAAATGGAAAATATGATTATTAGCACGAGAAATATGTTCTCATTGGATATAGTACCTTTGCTTACCAACGTACCACTTATCAAGACTATTGAGTGTATATTTGTAAACAAATATCAAAAGAACAAATTAACATTAGCTTGCCTGAAGGATTATCTGAAGGAACTACTCTTAAAATGTACCCCTAAATGTTTATTTTGTCTTCAACAATACTTATTCTAAACAAATAGACGGGTTAGCCAATGGGCTCACCTTTAGGCCTTATTCTAGCTGATCTCCTCAGCAAAGCTAAAAATGGACCACTTAATGATGAGTGGGTCAATAAGAACCAATCAACATCGAGGTGCACAGGACAAGCTGTGAATCACATATGGAGAAATTCAAACACTTCACTTTTTATACTGAAGGACTATGAAGGACAATGAAAACTGTTGTGTCTTGATCAGGGTCGTCGCTAATTTGTTATGACCTTACAAATTAAACAAAGACGTAACTCGCGTGAATTATCCACCAATAGAAATATGACTTCCCCGACCTTAACACAGTGACAATTAAGGACGTCTAATCAATATGAGTAATCTCGCGTCCTTATTGGTCCTTAATCCGCCTAACCCGTCCAATTGAGTCCAGAATACCAATAGCAGCTTCTTTATGCGAAATCTGTACGAATCGTAATATTTCAAGCATACTCCTTTTATATACCCGACAGACAGACCATATCACACCATAAAATAGAAAATAATATTTGTACAGAACCAAGCCAAATGTGGTTGTGAACGTGGGAGACAATAATCAATAAACTGAGTATAATTCAGAGACAGTAATTCGTATAACAATAATCCATAGGTCAAAATGAAGCTTATAATAAGATAAATATAGACATACAAAATCCAATTACGCAATAGTTGAACAATAAGGATATAGATATATATATATAGAATAATCGTCCAATAATAGGTCCTGAAAGTTACCCGTACTTATGTCTTCGCCAGGATATAACAAAAGCTCCACGACCAAACCATCCAGCTCAGAGAACAAACCTACATCAAGACCACTTAATGATAACAAGAATGCCAAATGAAATGACATGATAAAAAGGCAAGAAAAAGATGGATTCATTACTAATAACCATCAAAACATATATATACATATATGTCAATAAAAGGACCCATGTATACGTAAACAAAGTCAAATAATTGAATTATTATTTGTTATGTACATTAATTATTCATGAGCTTCCTTTCATCTTATTTCTCATTATTTGGTTGTTTTTAAAAGACAAAAAAAAACGACGAAAGGAAAATAAACAAACAAACTGGAAAACATTTCATTATTTATTGATTCAATAAAGTTATTGGAAACATATATTTCACCCCCGCTCTCTCATTTATCCCACCCCCCCTATTTTATTATTCATAGTTCATTGTATTAATCATATGATAAATATGAAATTAGTATGTGTATGTCACAATTACTCAGTTGTAAGACATGGTTTAAAATTATATAGTGGCTAGCAGTAGAATCCACGACGCGTGTTTAGTCCTATTTGATACTCGTCAGCTGAATGTATCTGCATCTCAAGGTTGATGTTCACTCAGGGACTCAAACTTAGTACCTTTCGCTTACAAACGCTATCGCGTTATCTACTTGGCCACTGAGTCCTGAAAGCTATTTGCTTGTGCAATGGGATGAAGTTTAAATTCACTTAAATTCATACAAACAATATTAAGTAAATGATTTAAAATTGCTGATACATTTGTTCTTTGTATTCCTTCCCCCTTCCCCCCCCCCTACGTCAACAAAAATTTTCAAGATTTTAGGTTACTCATTAATTTATATATACTTCTGGAATTATATCTTCGATGCATAATTTTTCCCATTATCATTGATACTGTTATTACGTTTTATATTCGATCTGATAATTTCATCTCAATGTACTAATGAGGTATGGTAACTTTGATCGATGTACACAAGAATCAAGTTTTACAGTTTGACTACCTGACTGAATGACAATCATGGATTATTTAAGTTGATGTATTGTTAAAAATTTTATTTAAAATCAATAGAATCATGGATACCATTTAAGATGAAGATAATTTCTATTAACTAGATAAATATTGTAAATGAGAAAAGCAAAGAATAACTGTCTTGTTCTAGCATATGAGTAGTGTATACTTGAAATATTTCTTAGAAATTGAATTATTGAATTTTTTCATGAATATTAAGTTCTAATCCAACGACTCACTTAACGAACTTTTACTGTTTAGTTGAAATCAGTCTATGGTATTCATTATGTTGAACTACATTCTTTTATGAGGCAAACAGAAAGTTTCCTTTCTTTAAGTCTTTCAGAAGCAAAGAAAGAAGTTTCGAAATTCATTGATTTGTATTGATTCATTAAACACGTATATAAAAATATTTTAATGAAATATTATTATAGTTGAAATCATGAATCAATTAAGGCTAGACCACAATGAAAAATTTGGAAACCTTAATCCAGAACCTATCAGTCTCGCGCGCGAGAGCTTAACCTCTAAACAACTGAGCAGGCATACAACAGCTCGAATCTCACGAGGCGGTATCATGGATGCTCACTGCTAAGGCGTCCTACACTAGGACGAAAAGGCCTTCCAATTCTTCTAGATTTTCCACGATAGTCTAGCTTCAATCGACTCATGATTTCATCTATAAAGTTACTTAAAAAGTATTCCACAAAACCTCCTTCTGAAATGTTAATAAACAGAAAAATATTGAAATTGTGAAACTATAAGGAGAGTTTATAGCTGAGACGAATAATTTTGATTGTAAAATTTTATTGTTATCTAGAAATTTTGTTTATGAAGTTTTTGGTTATCATACTGAAGAATTTTCATTAACGCCTAATTCTTGTCTTCTCGTGACTACGAAAAGCGAATGTTCGGCGCTTTAACCGAGATGGTGAACACGAAAAGTCCACCTAGGGGAGTTGGAAAACCCTGATTCCAAACCAATGGTGCACATGGGCTCCAGTATCTTAAAGGTACAAATGGCGTGTGAAACAATCGTTGGTCACCGGCTACCATGGGACTGGATCTTCTCACGATCCTACACTGCCTTGTGGATCTGATCTTTAGGTCGAAGGCTCCGAGTGTGGTCCCCTAAGAAAACCACCTACTTCAGTTTGGGCACCTGTGCAGTATTACAGCTCTCGCACAAATCAAATGAGATTTGTGTGGCGCATATATATCTGGTGCTTCCTTGTACCAATATTTTGTTTTAAAATAAATAAATAAAATATCGAACTACGTTTTCCAATTATTGCTGTAAACATTCAAATCAGTATTAACTTTTCGATCGTTGAAATCATCAGTCAATTGAAGCTAGATCACCATGGAAAACCTGGATACACTGGACGACCGTTTCGTTCTGTTGTGAAACTCTTCAGAAGTGCATAATGTCGCTCAAATTCATGATTCGGTTGAAGTTAGACATTAACACCAACGGATGCCGGTCGGATCAATGGTCTAGACGTAAAGCGCTCGCGCGCGAGACTGATAGATCCCGGGTTGGAATCATGGATGTAAACTGCTGAGGTATCCCACGATAGGATGAAACGGCCGTTCAGTGACCTATGATCTCAACTATTTTTAAAAATTACTATAATATTCACAAAATCCCCCTTCTGATATTATCAATATTAACTCATTTATATAATTTCTTTTTTTGTTTAAATAGATGGAAAAAATTTAGCTCAAATATATTCATGTAGTTTTTATGAAATATCTACATCAATTAATCATTGTGTAGATGATTAGTTGATGTAGTGAGTATTGACTTTTCGGTAGTTGGAATCATAAGTCAATTGAAGATAGACCACCATTAAAAACCTTGACACACTGGACGACCGTTTCGTTCTATTGTGAGATTCCTAAACAGTGCACAATGCTGCTGAATTTCATGGATCGGTTGAAGTAAGTCATTAACACCAACGGATGCCGTTCGGATCAGTAATCTAGACATTAAGCTCCCAAGCGCGAGAGGTCCTGGATTGGAATCTTGAATACGTACTGCTGAGGAATCCCACATTAGGACGAAACGGTCGTCCAATGTTTCTAGGTTTTCCATAGTGATTTAACTTCAGTTGACTCATGATCTCAATTATAATATCCACAATACCCCCCCCTTCTGTTATTAACAATATTAACTCATGTATATAATTTCTTTTTTGTTTTTGTTTTCTTTAAATAGATGGAAAGAATTTAGCTCAAATTTATTCATGTAGTTTCTATGAAATCTCAACATCAATTAATCATCGGGTTGATGATTTATTAGTTGGTATATTAATTGCTATAAAAGAACAACAAAAAAATGTACAAAAAGAACGTGAACGTTATGATCGTATGATTGAATTACATAAGAAGGGTGGATTAAATAATTTAACAAAAAGTAAAAATTCTATTACCGCCTTAAAAACACCAGCTAATAATGTCATGAAATTTTTTAGAAAACATTTTACAACAAAAAAAAATGAACAAAGTTTAGTTTAAAAAAAAAAGGAAAAAAACAAAAGAAAAAAGAAAAAAAGAAAATACATTTGTGTGTGTGTATGTGTATACAACAAACGTACATATCCTTATCAACAAAAATTTTAAAAAAAAAACATGTATGATTTCATCTGAGAACATGTTTTACATCTTCGAGATATAAATATATATTTTTAAAAAAAAATTTGAAACTGAGTAACATTTCGGTTATTTATTTTTTTTTGTTTTTTTGTTGCCATGGTAACTATGCATATATATATATATATATAATTCAATGTAATTGTATAAGAGGAAATGACATATGTATAAATAACATTCTATTTGTTATATTGTATTATTATTATTGTATAGAATGAATTAATTATATATACATAATTTCAGCTGAATTACAGTTAATAATCATATATTCTGACAACAGACGATAGCAGTAGTATATGCTGGAGAACAGATGGATGATTTTGATGGAGTTTTTTGTTTGTGTACTGATAATGTGATTCAGAAGAATAATGAAAGCTCTATGATCTAACCATTCAACTCAGAAAACAGAACTCTATCAAGATCAACAGTACATAAATAGATAGATAGATAGATATGTACCTATAGTAATAATGTTTGATAACAGACAAAATTGTATTATCCCGATAAAAGGAAAGAAGAAGCGTAAAAAACATTTTACAAAAACAATATGAGATATTTCTGATTTGAATTTGAATTTTTCGCCAATACTAGTTTAAATGAATTTAAATCATTTAAACAAAACATGTATTTTTTAATTTTAGATCACAATTGGTTTTTAATATTATATCATGATAATCTCTTCACTCTTTCTTTCTTTCTTTCTTTGTTTCTTTTTTACTGTTTATTCGGAATTTTTTTGTTTCCATAATGAAAAAAAAATGAAACACCCAGAAACAGATAGACACACACACACACACGATTGATCTTATCGCATACTTTACATACCAAAGAAAAACAAAAACAAACAACATTCATCATTGTCATCATTATCTACCAAATATCATTGTTATGATTATCATTTACTTATTTAATTCACATCTTGACAACTACTTTTTTAAAATTTTTATCTTACCGCTATAATATTGAAAGAAAAAAATCAATAAAATGTGAGTTAGCAACCAGAGACAGAGAGAGAGAGTGAGTGAGTTATTCAAAGATACATAAAGACAACAAAATATGTAACTTGTAAACAGTAGTTTATTGTAAAATAAAATTCATAAGAAAGGAAAGATTACGCAATCTATTGTGTTTATTTTTCTTCTTTAGATTGTTTGTTTATTTATTTCCCAATTTGTAGATGAGTTGTAACTTGGTTTTTTTGTTTTGTTTTTTCTATTCATAAATACACTTGTAGTGTTCATTGGTAGTTGATGATTTTAAAAAATTATATAATTTGTGTCATGGGCAAAGATCGATGTTGACTGGCAGTAGAATCCAGGATGCGCATTTTTTCCTAACTGGGACTCGTCAGCTGGATGTATCTGCATCTCAAGGTTGATGTTCACTCAGGGACTCAAACTTAGTACCTTTCGCTTCAAACGCTATCGCGTTATCTATTTGGCCACTGAGTCCTGAAAGCTATTTGCTTGTGCATTGGGGTGAAGTTTAAATTCACTTAAATTCATACAAACAATATTAAGTAAATGATTTAAAATTGCTGATACATTTGTTCTTTGTATTCTATTCGAATTCAGTTGATAATGTTGATTGTGAAGATTAAAGCTTCATTAAAATGTGGAACACTTGTTTAGCTATTCAGGCGTACGTTGTTTAACTTACAACTTACAAATGTTTTTATGATTTATCCAACTACAATTTATCAAACAAATGTTAGTAAACGTTGATTTCCCGACCGTTGCTGCTACCATGACGTGACGGTCAAGTTTGTTTATCGTGATGAGCCAATCGAGCTATACTGGGTGGAACAATCGTCCCTCAAAGTCCTATCATGCCATGCAAGTCGGCTGAAGAGTGGTAAGACTAAAAGGAGTAAACCCATATCCCGAAGGTGAAGTCGTACTGCTGACTGTACAGAGGTGTGACGACAGTTAGGTGTTTTCTTTAGACAACACTCCTCCCACAAGGAGGAGTGCGGACAGAAAAGGTCAACCCTAAAAATGGACACCTCGACTTATCCCACGGATATCCGTCTCCATTAGTAGAGTCTCAAAAAGTACGGAGCTAACATAAAAATTACTCATAAAAAGGTAGTGTGTGACCGACCACAAACAGTTGTCCCTTGGGCACTGCGGTCACGCTCTCAAGTCACTAAAATCACCTATAATCCAAATTTTCAGTTACCTCTAGAAGAACCGTTCCACGGTGTGGGCAACCGGGAAGTGGTAACTGCCCTCATACGTCTAACGGCACTCATGTTCATTGTATCATAATCAATCTCCCTCTTTTACTCCTGACTGACGCGTTGATTTCACCAAACTCTATAAACTAATCCAAGAACGACATTTTACAAACATTTGTCAAAATAAGATTGCGTTTTTTTTCTTAAATATAATTAACAGGCTTTAAAGTAAGCCTAATGTAGATTATAAGATCCAAATTGATTTTTTGCATTATCCTTGACATTTATTGATTAATATACTTTAATTAATAATAGAAAGCCTGAAAATTTTATTTATTCGTCAGAAAATGTCTGTCAACCAACTACAACGTAGGATCAGGGACATATATACATCTGTTCAAGTTGCCACACCTCATTCGTACAACAAGATCAACACCAAATTCATAAAAGTAATTACTTCAATTGTAGTCATATATAAAAGAAAGATTGTCTATAAAGATATAATACAGGGAGAAGGAATGGGCTCGTAGAAAGAAAGATATAAAGTAACTTTAATATCATGGTTTAAGGGAAGACAAAGACTGTATACACCTAAACCATTGTAATCAATACCTAGCTATGTCACACAGAGTCTTCAACTTCTAGTTACAATAGTCACGCTCACCTTAACCGAGTCGTCTGCATCTACCAATATAGTTCAAACTAGAAGTTAATAACTTCAAGGAAAAAATGCCACATTTCAGCTGATTTAGCTGCTTTTAACTTTCTTCCAATCATCCCCAATACTAGTCAGCATTACTCTTCGTGGTAATCGGAGTGTTCAAGTATATGTAACACATAGCCAAACCATCTCAGTTGATGAACATTCACAACCTTATTGACTAATGTACTATCATTCCTTAAATACCCTTATGTCAAAAAAAAATAACATTGACCTTATTAAAAGAACTAAAAAAAAAATAAGTCACATTTCAATGATTTTATAAAAGGGGAAAAGTTTTTTTTTCATCGATTAAAATCACACTAATCAGAGTATATAAAACACTTTGAAGGGGGGGTGGGGTTCGTATTGTTTCCAAGAAAAAAAAAGAGGAGAAAATTTTTTTTAAATTTTAATAATTCAATCACATGTTCATATTATTGATTAGAATAACATTTAGGAAGTGACATAATTTATTGTAAAATCGATATAAAAAAAAAAGAAAAAATAATAATAAAATAAATATCAAGGTTATAGAATTAATCCTTATTATTTTATTGATTTAACTCTAGTATGTTTTTTTTTTGTAATTTTCACTTGGAAACTATTTTAATCAATTCACATGGTATTGTTTGTTTGAATCTTCCTATTAATGTTTAAGACTACAATTGATCAGTCTCTATTGTATTAATATTCTTCGTTGTATTAGTAAATGGCTATCAGGATTCAGTAGCTAAATGGATAACGTAATGGCGTTTGAAGCGAAAAGTACTGAATTCGATTCCCAGGGTGAATATTAATGCTGTGATGCAGGTGCATTTAGCTAATGTGTGTGCCAATAAAAAGACTGATCAATTGCATTCCTAAACAACACCGAGAAGATTCAAAGAAACAATACTAAGTGAATTTAAACTTCACCCCATTGCATAAGCAAGTGGTCATCAGTACTCAGTAGCTAAGTGGATAACGTGATGGTGTTTGAAGTGAACAGTACTGGGTTAAAGTCTCAGAGTGAACATCAACTCTGTGATGCAGCTACATCAAACTGACGAGTTGGAAATGGGACGAAACGCGCTTCAAACTGGATTCCATCTTTTCTTTGTTTGTTTTTTTCTGTTCAATATAAAGTCGATTTGTTTTGATATTTTTAATTCTTTAAAACATGAAAATGGAACAAAAATATTGTTGATGAGAATCAAATAGTAATCTATGAACAAACGCAATGATAAATAAGATTTATAGATTATAAGATAAATAGTCACTAATTTGCATAGTTTCTTATCAACAACAACATCAAAAGAAAAACATTTCATAGTTTCAAAGACAACTGAGTAATGTGTCCCATTGATCAGTTTCTTATTGGCTTATATACAACCTTTTCTAAATGCTTCATCATTAATTTCAATCACATTATTCACTTAGCTACATCCCCTCAGTTAATGGGTCCAAAATAGAATTCTATTACTGACCACTGTCCATCATTGCTTAATTAAGAAATGATTCATTTTATTCAAACACTTATTTACCATATTTTCTGCAATTTTTTTTTGTTATTTTAACTTGTACCCTGAAAATGTAATTGCTGAGGAAATTCTATGGAATTCAATAAAAAATAAGATTCAATAATTAATATTAGAACTAATCTAGATACATTTTTGTTATACAGTTTTACCATAGTAACAATATTGATTAGATTGATAATAGAAAAAATTTAGTCTTAAAGTAATAATATAGTTCCTGTTATATCGTGTGCATGTGTGCGTGCGTGCCCTGTTTAATATATGACGTAATGATTGCCGCAAATTGGAGAGGAGGGAATTATTGATCAAAGCAATGATACACAAAAGTCGTATAAGCAGTCTTGAGTACTCGTGAGTCCCGCTATCTGCCTTATCCAGCCAGTTAAGTCCAAAACACCAATAACAACCTATGCAATATGAATCATTGTTCTCAAATATACTGGGTTTATATATCAAACAAACCGAC